TGCGACGGAACTGGGAGAGTTCCATGAAGGAACCAAGCAGGCACCAAACGAAACAAAGTGAACAAAGAGCACATACAGATTCGCACAGAAACACATTGAGAGACAGAGAGAAAGAAGAAAGAGCTGCCCGCGCCCTGTCAACCCTGGCGATTTGTTGAGCACATGCATACATTCGCCCAAGCGAAACCTGCCGCAAAGACATAGGGGCTGTCCTACCCCTTCCAGAGACCAGATTCGCCTCCTCCCCCCCCCCTTGGAGCCAAGACACGGGGCAACTTGACCAGGCAACCCAGCTTCCCCACTCGCCTCAATTGCGGGTAAGCTGCAGCTTAGGGTTTAGGCTTGAGATGCGTCCGCACTCCCCACACCACTCACACCGCCCCGCACCCTGCCCCAGCACCCTAAAAAAACCCAAAACTCTACGCCCTAAACCCGAGCCACTACCCGAATATCCTGCACAAAGCCCAAAGCCCTAACAGCCAAACCAGAACATGGAAACCCTAAACCCAAGCACCACCCACCATGGGCGGGCACAGGGGGAGGAGGGCACCTGAAACCCTAAACCCTTACACTCTGAACTCTCAACCTTCAACCCGACCACCCACCGGGTGGGGGGATCTAGGCTGTAGGGAACGCCTCCTGTATTCAGAGGTAGTTGATGAAAGAAACCGCAAAGGTTTGTCGAGGCAGAGGATGCCCCTGCTTGCCAGGTGCCACCTATTGCGGAAACATCTCTTGCGAGCTTGCAGGCGAGCTGCAATCCACGCAGTCGTTGGTGCAGTTCTGCACCTCATGCGAAAGAGCTTACGGCCATTTGCTCAGCTAGCAATCTTTCATGCCTGCGCAACGCGTGAACCATGCAGATGTCTTCCAACATCGGCCATCCACTTCGCTCCCGACTCAGGCGATCACAGCAGCTATAGTTCTCCACACAAGACAAGACAAAGACTAAACAAGCGCATGCGCACGAGGACGCCGCAAGCCAAAGGAGGCGGGCCTCTGCGACACTGCCGCAGACCACACCCCCATTTTCGGGCTTGCGTGTAGTCGTCCGCGTCCTGCACAGGACACGCAGGGCGCAAAACAATGGCACACATTGGCATGAAGATCGCCTCTTTCCTCAAGGTTGTGCTCGACGAGCCCCGAATTCCGAGGAGGTGCTAAGGGCAGTCGCAATACTTGCTTCTATCCGTCTTCTGTATCTAACAGTGGATACACCATGTTCTGGAAGGACTATGTTGTAAGGGGGTCTGTGGGGGAAACTACCCGCCTGAAACTGTCCTACGAGTTTTCTACAATATCAGATCTCACTGAGCCCCAGCCTGTTTGAGCTTCCTGAGCACCACGGGGAGCACTCCGTCCAATCCTCTGCATGCAGGAACCCCATGAATGCTTCGGCACCCCACGCTTTGAAACAAAACACAAGAGACCGCCGAATGCGGAAAGGCTCATCAAGCACAGATTGAATAGGTTAATATGGGTTAACACCACAAAGGCCAGGGACAAACAATCTTGTGCACAGCCGGCGTCGACTCGTCGCCTCTGCTTTGGGGGGCCTTCCGAAATCTTCCCCCGAAAGGGAACGGGCTGTTCAAGGCCAAGAGGCTGTCCAGTCCGACTGGCGGCAGTCGACTGGGCATCCTTGCGTGCTGCACTCCTGAAGGGAACAAGAAGAACAAGAACTCAGGGTTTTAGGGCTTGAGTCGCGGTGAGGCGTGCAAGGCCGAGGAAACCGACCAAGCGCATCCCATCCTCCTCTTCACTGATCTCACCAGTGCAGGGTACACCATCGCCAATCTCCTCAAGACAGCAGAAAGGCCGCACAACCACCAGAAGAAACATGCCTGTGTCGTCGGCAATGTGGTGATGTGTGTCTGTGCAAGAAGCCAGCGCGAGTCCTTCTTGACGTAGGAGCAGGCATTCGCTTCAGGCTCCAGCACAAGCCCCACATCACCTCGCAGCACAGCACATCACGCAACGCAGGGCTAGCAACCCGTGCAAGTTCGTGGACTCAGTGAGAGTGGGACGTTCGGAATGTCTTCACGTCACTTCACAGTGGAGAGCTGAGCTCGGTACAGATGGTGAGCCTTGGCTTCTTCATAAAGTGAGTTTTGATGAGTCTTGCTTCCGACCTCGCACTCAAACATTGTGCCCAGCGGCCAATTGTTGCAGCCCTGGTCGTAGAGGCCGCCGCAGTTTGGATCCACGCTGCAAATTGCCTGCAGCTGTATTGAAGACCCCCTGCCAAAGACTTTGGGCTCGGGCCATATGGGGGCATCTTGATTGCGCGAGATGGGTAAAACGATAGGAAACTCAGCTTCCGTCCCCGGGAAGACAAAACCGAAACCCGCATGCTGCCCGTCGCAAGCCTGCGCCTCTTCCGGCGTCTTTCCTGCCCCATCTAAAGTTCGCTGATGGGCGGCATCACACCTGCAGGATTTCACAGCGCTGCACCCTGCATCTTACTGCAATACGAACACAGAGAAGCCTATGTAGCCAGGATTTTGCAGGACCACCATGGTCAAGCGCTGTCCAAAGCGGCCGAACCACAACCTAGCAGAGCCGGGATGGCCTCACCCCCAGCTTCTTCTCGTAACCGAGAGCCGTGCTGCGAAGGCCTGCAAGCGATTCTATATGTTGGGATGTACCCCCAGAGAAGACCTGGAACTGTTTCATGTCCAAAGCTCTTCTTCCGCCATTGGGCTGGGTCCGGAGGCAGGGGCCTAGCTCGAGAAGCGACGCGTACTCTCGCGGCACGTAGACCTTGGGTGAAGGCTGGGCTCCCCTCTTCCCCGTGCGAACTACCCCCCCTCCCCATGATTGCCCTGATTGCCCATATGTTCGTTGTAGTCTGCCCGAGAATTTTTTTGGAGGGTAAGATCGAAGACCAGGTGAAGTGGGTTAATCAGATGATTAAAAGAAAGGCTACGAAAAAAATGTTGAATACTGCAAATAATTCCACTTATGATAAGAAGAAGAATAGTAATAGTAAAATTAATAATACTGAATATAGAACAGATAATACAGTGCTGAGAAGACTGAGAATGATAGCCGGGTGGCTTCGGTTCGCGCCCGTGTTCGCAAGCCTCCGGCGCAGCTCCTGGAGGGCAGGCCCGCGCTTCTGACGGGGGTTGTCAGGGTTTAGGGTTTACAGGGTTCAGGGTTCAGGGTTCAGGGTTCAGGGTTTAGGGTTTAGGGTTTAGGGTTTAGGGTTTAGGGTTTAGGGTTTAGGTTTAGGGTTTAAGGTTTAAGGTTTAGGGGGTTAGGGTTTAGGGTTCAAGGCTCAGGGGGTACGAGCAACAAGCAGGGCACCCAGGGTTTCGGGCGGGGCCGGTTTGTTTTTTGCATCATTCTTGGACCAAGGACCTCCACAACACCCTGCTAACCCTGCAGAACTGGATGGGCAGCGACCGCTCCGAGTGCAGGTACTCCACTCGTTCCACTGCGAGAGCTGGCAGTCCATGCAGAAGTTCGTGCACGACTTCACCTCGGACCTGAACCCGCCGGGGCGAAGAAATCATCAGGCGAACTCCCGAAAGTCAGAACCACGCGGAGACCCCGAAGATGCCAAGGCGCAGCAGGCCGCAAGCCTGGCCGCCGAAAGCGGCGGGCCTTTGGACGCTGCGGCTGCGGTTCTGCGTGCCGTGACCTGGGAGCTGGGAGAAGGGAATGTTGGGCCAACCGAATGCTGATAGTCACCGATAGTATTGGGGCGGGGCTCTACCATCGTTTGCGGGCCTCTGCTATGACAGAAATGCCCGCGGCTGCGTGCCGGTATATAACTTATATGACAAAAGCTGTAACGGAAAGGCGCAGAGCTGTAACGGATTCGTCACGGACCTGTAACGTAGCCATATCGGAAGGCTGCAACGAAGCGCTACCGGCTGTAGCGCTGCTGTAACGGAAGCTGTAACGGAGCCGTAGCAACCGGACTGTAGTGGAGCTGTAACGGACCTGAAACGGACTGGAACTGTAGCGGAGCAGAAAATTTCAACTGGGCTGAAACGAAGCTGTAACGGAGCTGTAACGGAGCTGTGCAACGGACGTTCAACCGAGCTGTAACGGAGCTGCAACGAAGCTGTAACGGAGGTGCAACGGAGGTGCAACGGAGCTGTAACGGAAGCTGCTACGGAGCTGTTACGGAGTTGCAACGGAAACTGTTGCGGAGCTGCAACAGCTGTAACGGAAGCTGCAACAGAGCTATAACGGAGGTGCAACGGAGCTGTAACGGAACTGTAACGGTAGCTGGAACTTAGCTGTAAAAGAGGTGCAGCGGAGTTGTAACGGAGCTGCAACGGATGCTGTAAGGGAGCTATAACGGAGGGCCCACGGCGGGTAGCGCAAATCCCAAAGAAATACATGGTAGAGCCCACCCTCAATGACAGTAATGGTCGGGGCAACTCCCGCAATACGCCCAGCTGTCATGGCTGCTGTCCTCAAGTGGCAAGTGAGCGGCAATATGGCGCACACGAAGACCAGCCGGTCCAGTCACTGACCTGGCAAGGGGCACTAGGGTACCGTGCTCTTTGGCATTTCACAGCAAACCCCCCCCCCACCACCCATACTCAAGCCTGCCAACTTCTGTACCCCCAAGGCTCTAAGGCCTAGAACGAAATTCTCCAGCCTTGCAGTCCACGGGGCAGGCGGCTTCGCCGCATGCCTCCGATGAGATAATGGAGTTGTTGAGGGTTTAGGGTTTAGGGGTTAGGATTTAGGGCGTAGGGTTGTAGGGGATGTCGATGATCTGAGGGTTCACTGGGTTGGTGTAAACTTGCGCTTGGTTCCGCAACCCTAAAGCTCCGCAAGCTTCCAAATTCAGATGCGGGGGTTGATCCAGAACCATGGGCCGCACAGCTTCTTCATTGTTTGGGTACCAAGGCGGTCCTCGATCCCGTATGTGAGTGCCCGGTGTGGCTGCAACTCGTCGTTTCTCAACTCTTCCGAGAACCTCTTCAAAACCTGTGATTTGCTTGGTCCCTCGTATATGCTAGGTGTGTATATATATATATACATACACAAATATTTGTCTTAGTGTTTTGCAGACTAAACTAGTTGTTTGCCCCACTATATAAGACTGGGAGTACCGCGAAACCCAGCCTCCGTCTGGCTGGAGTTGCCGATGCACTCTTGGCCATCGCCTTCCGCCTGCCCACCCACTGGTAGGACTTTGGGGGGGGGTTAGTGTTTGGGTTTAGTGTGTGGCGTGTAGGGTTAGGGCTTAGGGTTTAGGGTTTAGGGGGTTTGGGGTTGAGGGGTTGAGGGGTTGAGGGGTTGAGGGGTTGAGGGGTTGAGGGGTTGAGGGGTTGAGGGGTTGAGGGGTTGAGGGGTTGAGGGGTTGAGGGGTTGAGGGGTTGAGGGGTTGAGGTACTAGGCTCGCGGAAGAGGCCACTGTGGGGGTGCAAGCATGTACAGCCTAAACCGCATACGGTTCTGAGGCCAAGTGAGAACAGGCTCTGAGCCCTCAACAACCTCAAGCCCACCCTCGACTCAGCCCCAGAAAACCCCCACACAGCCAAAAGCGGTATAGCCAGGTCTTAAGCAAAAACACTCGAAGACAGAGAGAGGCCAACAAAAAGAAGAACCCTCGAATTTAGTAACACCACTAAGGTATGTTAGTTCTTATCGCAAGAGCCCAGATGGTCAGTTCTCAAGATCATGGTCCCTTTTTGGGCACCCTGAAGAGGAGCCGCTGTATATATCAGCGACCCCCAGAAGGGACCACATCTTCGAGAAAGGACCATCTACGCCTGCGCCACTTGTGCCCAGGAACCTGTACTTTTACCACGCGGCTACGGCTGCGACTGCCGCCGGCGCAGGAAACTGAACAAGGTGACCATTCTTCCCAGTCCTGGCAGCGGTTTCTGTGTGGGATGGTGCTGGGCTGGGCACCGCACTTGCGTCGCAACAAGTGTGCTTTAGGGTTAGGGTTTAGGGTCTGGGGTCTAGGGTCTAGGGTCCAGGGTTCAGGCTTCAGGGTTTAGGGTTTAGGGGCTTTAGGGTTTAGGGTTTAGGGTTTAGGGCTTTAGGGTTTAGGGTTGAGGATGGCTTAGGGTTTGGGGTTTGAATGACCGTTTCTCAAGCTTGCATTTCAGCGCAGCCAAGGTGCTGTCCACTGGCAGTCAGCGCAAGGGTCTTCTTGACACTTGCTCGCTGGACCCGAGGTGGCATTGCCTTTGGCAACAGCACATCCTTTTGCAGCTAAGAGCAGAAGGGAAAAAAACCAACAGTTTTCGTTTTTTTGCGGGTGCATGTGAGCAGCGGCCTGGGGAGATCATGTCGAGCCTCGAGCAGCTGAGGCTCAGACCAGCACGGGTAGCCCCCGCGGCCTGAAGGGTTCAATTCGCGACCAAGCTGAGCCAAAAGCTCGATTTGCTGGACGGCTCCGTTGGCCTCACGCTCCAGCAAAGACGATGGCAGGATGCCTGTCAGGCAGCCAAAACTACGCACAAGTGCACTCTCGCAGCCCAAATCAAAGCATTTCCTCCGCTGCACCCCAATCCGCGCTGCCTTGCTGAAGCGTCCCATCAGCACTGACCTGGGCACAGCCAGTCCAGAAAACGAAAGCTTCAGCTGCGACATCGCTCAAACACTGAACCACCCATGGCTCCCTTCATCCACGACTTCCCTTATCGCCCGAAAGCGGCCAGAGACCTCTCAACCGCCATCCTCGGCCAACACTGAGACCCGAACCCGAACAACTTCGGCGCTTGGGGGCTATGCTCTGTAGAAACAAGCACAAAGCCCGCCTTTCGCCCACCACCATGGGCACACCAAAACGATATAAGGGGGCGAAGGGTGCGCCGGGAGCAAGGGACGTTTCGGGCCGACCATAGGGGATTCTATACATACTTGCTTGCTCTTGAATAAACAACTTAAACAACCCAACTAGAAGGCCATCAGGCACTCTTGGGGCCCCCAGCCGCCAACCCCCGCTCGCTGCGGAGGAGACGAGAGGGGCCCGGCTCGGGGCTCGGGCTGCCGTCCTGCGATCGGTTGCTGAGGGTTTAAGGTTTAGGGTCTTTAGATGTCTTTAGGGTTTCGGGTTCAGGGTCCATCCGTGGAGGAATGCCAGGTGCCCATTAGCCTATAGGTAATTGAGACAAACTTCTGGAGATGTGGACCGCGTGCTGGGCAAAGCCACTGGGGCCTGAAAACAAGCCCACAAAATCCTAAACACCTACGCCAAAAAATCCACAACCCTAAAACCCTAAACCCCCTCAACCCAAATCCCCAAAAACCCTAAGAACCCAGGTCTCAAAGCGCAGTGGGGTTTGGGGATTCAGGGGTTTTCGGGGATCGGGGTTTGGGGTCTAGGGCTCAGGGGCTCAGGATTCAAGAATGCAGCCTCTCCTGAACTCACAGCAATTCTGGCAAGATGGAGGAAACCTAAACCCTAAACCCTAAACCCTGCTGACCTTGGGGACACGGAGGCTGCCCTTGCAGTCCTCGGCAACCGCCCAGCGCTTTTGCGCGGCGTCGGGTGCTACTCCACCTGCGGCCTCAGGTTTAGGGGGTTTAAGAGGGAGGTAGGGGGGGGTTAGGGAAGTTTAGGGGTGTTGAGGGGGTTTGGGGGGGTTTAGGAGGCTTAGGGGAGTTGAGGGGGTTTAGATGGGATCTGAAAACAATGAAAATACGAAGCCCGTCTCAGGACCTGGCATGCCACTGCAAACCTGGCTGACATGATCGCATCTCAAGCAACGACATCTCCTCAATTTCTCTGATACTCCCCTTGTCCTCCACGATCACCACCCCCCCGAACCAAAACCCCCATATCCGCCGAGGATTCGGGCCGTAGAAGTCTGGGGAGCATAAAGCGGGTACCCCACCTCCCTACGACGCCCGCGCAGGCTTGCCGTCCTTTTTGTGGTACTTCTTGGATGGGTATCCTAAACCCTAAACCCTAAACCCTAAACCCTAAACCCTAAACCCTCAAACCCCCGCCCCAAAAGCGGGGCTGTAGCTGGAGTAGCGACCTTGCCTCGGTGTTGCCAAGGCCAGGAGGGTCGCGTAGCATTAAGGCTACAGTAGATTAGAGTCCAGAAGTATAGTACCCTATAGTACCTTGTAGTACACATTACAATGCGAAAGACAAAAGAAGGGGAGCTTCTCAAGCCGGCCGGGAGCACCCAACAGGCAGAGGCTGACCACTGGGATCATTCTGACCTCGCAAGGGGGCTCCCTGCAGAGGGGGACCTGCAGTTGAAATGAACCCCAGCGACGATAATGACTCCGACCAGCTCCTGCTTCGGTTCAGATCATGGGTTTAAAGTGTCATGAGTGCACTGATCTCGAAGACATGGCCCGCGCATCTACGGCTCTGCACAAGTGGCAGCTGAGTCTGCGGCATCCACGACACTATGGAAATATGGAACCAATGTTGGGCAGTAGACCTTAGCTGTGCTTTAGGGTTTGGGGTTGAGGGTTTAGGGTGGGGGTGGTGCTGATACGGGATCCAGGAAGATTTGAATGTGGAACGACTTGGGGAAGCTGAGCCGCTTCCTGTTCAACCCTACACCACCCCAAACTCTCAAGCCCTCAAGGCTGGCTTTCGGGTTTTGGGCTATAAGGGCTTGAAGGGTTTAGGGTTTCATTCGGGGGTGCAGGGGCAGCCCTCGAGATAAGGCCGCCAAGATGCTTGTCGAGACCTGGGACGTCGACTTGGAAAGTTTGGGCTTGGTGGCTTGGGAGTGCTTAGGATTTAGGGCTTCAAGGGAGGCGGATGGGGAAACCCCACCCCCGCCAAAAAAACAACTACACCCCCCCAAACCCTAAACCATCCTCAACCCTAACAACCATCCCGAACGCTGAACACCCTGAGCCCCAACCCTGACTGAACCCCAACTTTGACCCATGCACCTTCAAGCACAGCCAGAAAACCCCAACCCCAGATCTGCACCCCAAGTCTAAACCCTCAACCCTAAACCCTAAACATCTGCGCCGCAAGTGGCTCTGGGCCCGAATGGGCTGCGCCAGGGCCAACCCTAGCATTGAGCCCACAGGCTGCAGCCAGGCTCCACATTCAAGGGAAACTGGGTTTTTCAGGGGCCTGGGCCTGGAGTCTTGTTAGGGCTTAAGGCTTAGGGCTTAGGGCTTAGGGCTTAGGGCTTAGGGCTTAGGGCTTAGGGCTTAGGGCTTAGGGCTTAGGGTTGAGGGTTGAGGGCTTAGGGCTTTGGGCTTAGGGCTTAGGGCTTAGGGTTGAGGGTTGAGGGTTGAGGGTTGAGGGTTGAGGGTTGAGGGTTGAGGGTTGAGGGTTGAGGGTTGAGGGTTGAGGGTTGAGGGTTGAGGGTTGAGGGTTGAGGGTTGAGGGTTGAGGGTTGAGGGTGCACAGGCTGTCTACCCTCACTCAGCCCTGAAGCCAACTTTCAACTCGACTGAGCACACAAGTCCGGATGAAGCCTGCATTCCACCAGCCTAATGAGAGTCACCAGCCTAAAGTCATAGGTCTTGTTGAGGCAGGCCGCGCCCTTTGAAGGAGTTCTCCAGAAGTTCTTCTATCATCCGGCACTCTTCACGCATGAACATAGAGCTGAGGCAAGGCATAGCTGATGCTCCGATAGGCATACCCCCAGAACACTATCATCACAGGAACCCACAATTCAGAGAACTGCCGATATGCTTCTTTCGGTCAGAGGAGAGGCCCTCCAGCTGTCGAGCGCAAAGAGAGCGCGTGGTTCACTGACGAATTCCAGAAGCACGTTAGCAAAACATGGATGGCTGCACGGGGCTTGGAGAAAGAGTGGGGGGGGGTTTGGGTGTACGTTATGCTTCTCATGGCTTCATGTTGACATGGCATGGTCTGCTCATTGTCGCGTCATTATGCAGAGCCCCGAAGTTCGAAAATCCAGCTGTCAACCTGGATTTGACATCGGTGGTACGGCCATCCCTGCGGCATCCGCGCGTCTCGAATAAGCCATGGAGGGCAATCTAGCTTTCTTTGCGCCAGTGACTCGGGCGGATCTGGCGCCCTCTACAAACCAAAAGCTCAGTAACAACTATGTCTGAAAAAGTGAACAATCAACCCCAGGTGCCAATCCCAGACATGGACCAAACGGCAACCCTTTGTCCCCCCTGGTGCTGCGACGAAGACGACGCTTCGGCCCAAGTGTGCAAGTGGCATCAAAGGATTGGGGCAGGTGCAGTAGCAAGATGCACAAGGCTCAGCCGTCAGCACCAGCAGGGGCCAGAAGGGATCTGAGCTTCGCAGATGATGCTATCAAGGAGGTTCCCCTGAAAAGAAGAAAGATTTCTGAAGCAAGGCTCACCGCAGCCTAGGCAACGTATCACGATGCGGCCGCAAGAATTGGCCACCTGTATTAACAGGCCGAAAATGAGGATCCACAGCAGCTCTGCCACGCAGGGCTACGCTGCTCGAGTCTCCGGAAGGGGCAGAATGCTAAGCACGTGGCGTGACATCCTCGCGGGAAGCAAGCTGCTCAGACAACCAGTGATCGTTGTGCCGGGGGTGCAGGTTAAAAACAGAGCCACGCTGGTAAATGCTGTGGCAGCTCCCAGGTTGCTTGAGTAGCTGAGGTATCCAATCGCGCCCCCAAGGCTGTAGAAGAGACTGAAGATGAGGAACACCAGCAGCGACTGCAGGTAATCCAGGAGCCCGGGCCGGCTTGCGAAGTTTAGATTGCACAAGTACAGGAAGAATCTCATGCTGAGCAGCCACCAAAGAAGGTGAATGCCCAGCGTGTGGCCCACCAGATGCGAGAGCAGGGGCCTCCACTGGGCACCTCCCCTGCAAAGTCCGACAAAGCCCTCCAGGCTGGCACTGAGCGGGGCAGTGCTGAGAAGAACGACGTAGGCCCTTGGGATTCTGCTTCGTAACGTTGCGCTCAGGAGCTCCCTCCTGAGGTCACCACGGACGTACTGCAAGAATGCGTTTGTGCTTCCAAACCACTCGATAATGGCATCGTGCACGAAGTCCTTGTCTGCTGCAACGCGGCAAGCCACGGAATCCAAGTCAAAGTGCTCCAAGTCTGATATCAAGGACTGCCTCAAACGAAAGCTCTTGCGAAGCACATGCGCAACGACATAGAACGGAGAGACGGCAGCGAAGAGCACCAAGAAGGTGACTCGGTCTGTGATGGAGACGATCCACAGCACGCTGGAAAGAAAGCAAGAGCATACCAGAAGCAGCACCATCACCCACCCCACACACACCGGGGTCAGCACCACCCTTCCCGGTGGGTTCAGGACCCTGTAAGCTGCAATCTCGAAGACGCACCACAACCTCCAAGCACTTGTTTCACAATGGCATCTCTTGGCAGCCTAAGCTTACCTAAGATGAAGCTCTTCTCCCATTCAGACTCTTGATCTCTTCTCAGCTTTGAGTTTGAAACAATCTGATGAAATGGGGGTTTCCAAAAACTCGGCTTCCTGCAGAGAAGTGTCTGGAACAAGCAGACCCGGATCCGGTCTCCCACCGACAGAATTTCGTGACGCACCCCCCATTCCTGTGGGGCCCCCCCAATCGCTTGGAGCAGCTGCAAACCGATGCTGTGGGAGAGTCCCGCCTGTCGGCGGCTCCGACAGAGGGAGCGCGAAATGGGGGGCACGTTTGGGACTTGCTGGGACCCGGTTTGGGACCCTGCGACCCTCCTCCAAAACCGCCTGGGACCGCCCTGGCGCATCCCTGCACAGCAGAGGGAGCACCTCGAAATGGCCTCCGACGTCATCTCCACACATTTGCTCTGGGCCGGCCCGGCTGCCGAGGTGGCGCGCACATTTACAATTAGGGTACCTAAAACTCCCCCCCTCGGTGTGGGGCTGCTAGCTTTTACATGGACCATTCTCCTGGCCTCCTCGCCCGGCCGAGTCTCAAATACACGAGTTTTTACTTCGATCCCCAAACCCTGCAGGCGAGGAATTTGCGAGCTCACTCTGGGGTTGGGCACTCCAGGGACGCTCTGGGCATTCTCCGGGGGTTGGGCACTCCAGGGCTTCTGTGAGGATATTTTGGGGGTTGGGCTACTCTGGGGTTGGGCACTCCAGGGATTGCCTAAAAATACTCTGAGGTTGGGCACTCCACATTTTCTGGGAACACTCTACGGTTGCCAGAGGGACTCCCTGAGGAAGCCCGGATACAGGTGATGGGCGAAGGAGAAGAGTTTTGTTAACAATCTAACAACCCCACACCGAGGCTGCGGAACAATGATTGTGCTGCTTTGTGGGATTCTTTCGGAGTACCCCTGTTTGGGAAGAAAGCAAACACTGAAGGCACGACGGCCTCGTGAAGTAGGCCGCGCTCCAGAGCACCCGCAGCTCTTTCGAGATCCGCAAGAAGACGCCCAGGCCGCACATGCCACGGTGCATCAACTCAGGATCTTCCTGGTGGATGCACACCTGGCGGGCACGCTCTAGGGTTTAGGGTTTAGGGCTTAGGGCTTAGGGTTTAGGGTTTATAGTCAGAGCCCTGCCATCGAAACTTGCAAGCAACCCTATCGCCCTGAAGCCAACAAATCTTCAGCATTCCGCGGTTTGGGGCCAGCAGCCTTGTCCAAAAAGCAAGCCTTGTCTCGTTGCAGGAGGCTGGGGGCATACGGTGAGGCAACCAGGCCAAGCACTGAAGCCACCGTGCCGGAAAGCATGATCCACGGGCCCGTCGGGGTCACGCCCTGGCAAGGACAGCTTCCGTTGCTTGTGTTCGCGGCGCTCATACCACCAGTAAAGTGTTCCCAAAGGGTTAAGAGACCGAATCGTGAGCATATGACTATGATTAGTACAACGCCAGCCTCGAAGTCCAAGATCTGAATGGTGGGCTCAAAGGGCAGAGGGACAGCTCCCAGCAAGCAGAGCAGAGTCATCGTCCCAGCAGCGACGACCCAAGCTACCATGAAGCAAAGCCTACCTGTTTCAAAGAGCAGAACCAGATACTTCCAGCGACCCGGCGTCTGCCAGGTGTGTGAGAAAAACATATCGATCTCCTCCGAGGGCTGCGACTGCTGCCACAGTCGGACTCTCTGCTCCTGAAACATCGCTCGCACAGGCTCTCGTGGCTAGCATGGCCGACCAGCAACGCACAAGAAGCTTCAAGATCCTTCGGCAGGTCGATGGGCGAGCTGCACCAGAGTCTGCCGTTGCCTCTGAGTGCAATTGCCGCACCCCTCAAGAAGCCCTCCCGGAAAGCACTCCCCACCGCAAAAGAAAGCACGCAGACGCCAGCCAGGCAAGGGGCTTAAGTGAGCTCCTTGCCCCGAACCCTAAACCCTAAACACTCCCTAAACCCTTAAACCCTCTCAGCGCACCTCGAAGGGAGGATCTCAGCGTGATCTTCCGCAGCATCCTCGGCTTGACAAGGAAGGAGCTGTGGCGGTATGTTTCAGGGCCCATGCCTGACAGGTCCACAATAAAACATCACGGAACAACGTCCCAGCATGGCCAAGCATCGCCGGATCCAAGCTTACACTCACCGCGGAATAGGATCGCCTCTTGCCCTGCAAGGCCGCCGAAGTGCTTCGGGTGTTTTGTGGCTCAAGCTGGCATTTTGGGGGCTTGGGTCCAGATGAAAGCAGCATGGAACAAGGCTTCAAGGGTGTCAAGGGTCTTGAGGAGAGCCGGGATGCAAGTCGTCAACCATGCAACCTCCTGGTAAGCAGGAGAGGCCTATGCAAATCAATGCATTTCCTAGCCAAGGTGCACGTGAACCCCAACCAGCATTCTCCAAACTCCCCTCGAAACACCCAGAACATTACCGTGGACATTGCACCGAGCGTGTCCCCCAAGCCACCTACCTCGGCCTCGCAATGATTGTGTGTTGTTTGCGGCTTTCGCCTGGTCGACCCTGAGCCTCAACCCCCAAGGCTCCTGATGAACCGCAAGAAGAACCAACAAAAAGAGAAAGCCGGCTCAGAAGAGCTGAGTGTGCCTCCACAGCTCTCTCGTGGAGTGGCTTGCCATCATGTCGCGGGCTGTCCTTACACGCACCCCCACGGGCTTCTTCAAGCGGGAGGATTCCGAGAGGGCTGGCGGGTCTTGGCCGGGCTTTACGCCCCCTTCAGGCTAGCAGCTCTTGCTTCGGCGGGTTGCTCGAGGTCAAAGCGCCCCAAATCGTACTCCTCGTGGGCCTCCTCCTCTGTCTCCTGAGGCAAGGATGCCTGGACCTTGATGATGTCCCTTTCCATCCCAGCCTGGCATTTGCACTGGGAACACACTTATATGTGCACTGCCCCCAAATTTAGGGCCTCTTCTGGGGTTGTATTGCAGACTACTCCTTAGAGCTGCTGCATCTTGGATTTGCACTGCCTCCTCATGACAGCAGCTCTGGCCGACCCCCATCGCTGGGCGGCGCAAGAAAACTTCTAGAGATCGAATCCACCGGTAACGTCTCTTTGTGTTATGAAGGTGCCTGCGCGTGCTCAAGAGCTTGAGCCTTAGACCAAGTAAGTCGTAGGCATCCGCACACGTGCCAGACACCTCGATGCTCAAACCCCATGCTTTGGAGGAACCTCCCCTGCTTTTTGACTTTTGTCACTCGATCTTCTGCGCTTGGGTCCGGCTCTTGGCCATCGCGACCTTTGCGCAGCAGTCCGTCGAGCCTGGCACCTACTTGAGTCCTTTGCAAGATGTGCACCATGCTGAAGGGGGAGGCGCCGCGTGATTCCAGGATCTCCGCCTCATCTATCTCTGAAGAATTGGGGAGGGGGTGGGACAGCGATGCAACACATCTGAGAAGTCGAAGGGCACTGCCAGACGTCCCAAGCCCCCGGCCACTTGCAGGGACCCGAGAATCAGGACACCCCCAACGGCTGCCTGAACAATGTACGAATGCTGAAGGCTAGTCAAAGCTAGTCATTAGTCCTGTACCTTTTTGCAGCACGTGCTGACAGACGTGTGGGTCGAGCCTGCAGCCCGGGAAGCCCTTCCTCAGAAAGCGATTCCACAAAGCCACGGGATGCCGCGAGCCCTGGGGTCTTCGAGCGGACAAGGAGCGCCAAGCAAGGCAGCAGCGACCACACCAGACCTGAGACCGCAAGTCTTCGTGGGCAGTACTCTTTATGATGATGGCAGGCTGATAACAGCCCTAAACCAAGATGAAAACACACATTCACATCATCATCATCATCATCATCATCATCATCATCATCATCATCATCATCACCATCATAATCACCACCATCATCATAACCCTAACGTCTGTCATTCATGACCTGCTTTCAGAACGTGGGATGGAAAGCGCAACTGCGGTTCTGGGGCAAAGGTTCAGATGGGCCGAAAACACCCTCCCGAACTGCACTTTTCTGAAGCCACTTTCTGGTGCTTTCTGGGCTGGTATCTGAGCCTGAACCCAAAACCCCAATGCCTCAACCCTGTATCCTAAAGTCCTAAACCCTCAACCCTAACCGATCCTCCAGCGAACCCTGAAGGACGCTCACGGGAGTTTCTGAGGTGCTTGCAACGTCCCAAAGTGCATCGCCTGCTAGGGACATCACTTGGGCTACAGCTTCGGGGCCCAAGGGCTTTTCCAGGGTTTTAGGTGTGCGCGTTTAGAGTTTGTATGGGTTTGATAGGGCGAAGCAATCCAGCGAAAGCATCGGATGCCCATTAGTTTAGGGATATGCAACATTACGTCCAGATGAGGATAAAGCATTTTCCCGAAACCCTAAACCTTGTCGTCTCTTGACTCAAGGTGTGATTCCTAAACCGTAAACCCCTAAGACCTAAACCCCTAAACCCCAAACCCTAAAAAAAACAACCTCAAAACCCTCAACTTGCGGGGTTCGGGCCCTGCAAGCGTTCCACCTGCGTCCCCGAGGCCGCGGGCAGCAGCGCCAGGCCGCGGGCCAGGAAAACCTGCAAGAATTTGGGCCTGGGGGGAGTTTATGGTTGAGGGTTTCGGGTTTTAGGGTTTAGAGTTTAGGGTTTCGGGTTTAGGGCTTCGGGTTTAGGGTTTGAGGGGTTCAGGAGTTCAGGGGGTCAGGGGTTTAGGGGTTTGGCGGTTGACAGGGGTTAGGGTTTATGGGTTGTAGCAGTTTTGGACTAGAGCTGGATTTCTCCGATTGCTTGGTTATGTAGAGAGCCCTGGTTCTGATTGGGTTTTTTGGACGGTTGAAAGGTATACAAAGGATTTCAGGATTTGAGGTCTGCTAGGGGTTTGAGTGTTTGAGGGAGAAGAATTGCGGGGAAAATTGAGGGTACGTTCTTCAACCCTGCTCATTCCTGGAAGGCCCATGGGAGAAAATATCGGACCTCCGGTGTTTGAGTGCAGGGAATTGAGGGCAAGAACTGCATTCAAGGTCGAGATGGTTCAGGAAGCCATGTGGGGGTTTGCGAACATAAGGGACCCCGAATAATATAAACCCCCAAATTAGTAGGACTCGCTTATCATGAGAACCCCAACATGGTACCTTCCAGAGAAGGCAAAAAACTCCGTCTGTCGCTTTACCACTCGCAAATCGCCAAGAAACGGAGCCTGGCCGAACTGGGTGCAAATGCCGAGTGCCAGCAGCCAGACCTCAGGAATTGGGTCTAGGGTTTCGGGCTTCGGGCTGCTTGGGGTGCTTTAGGTTGGTTTTGGAGGGATCTCACATGATCTGTGTTTGATGGCTTCTCGTCCCAAGCACCTAGAACGCACTGCTGCACCAGCATCTAGGCAAGGCATAAACCCCAACCCCAAAGCGCTTAAACTCTTAAACACTAAACCCCACAACCTGCGTCCTAAACCCTTAACCCCTAAACCCCTAGGCCCCTACACCCCAAAACCCCACATCCCAGAAGGCCCCTTACAGCTCGGCCTCACGCCCAAACTGCCGTCTCATGGCCTTCCTGGAGGCCAGACCTGAGACATGGGTTTGAGGTTTAGGGTTTAGGGTTTAGGGTTTAGGGTTTTGGGCTTTGGGTTTAGGGTTCAGGGTTTTGGGTTTTGGGTTTAGGGTTTAGGGTTCAGGGTTTAGGGTTTAGAGATACCACCACTTGATGCATGAGGACTATGCGTGCAAGGTTCTGGGTCGGGGGAAGACAAGTTGGGGAAATCTTGGAGCCTCTCGGGCTGACTGAAACTGGAGGGGGCGGGTCACAGCGATTGAGGATTGAAGGTTTAGGGCTTCCATTCAAAGGACCTCATCATTCAGATGAACCTACGGCTGACTTGCAAGTGCATCCTACCGGGAATCGTACCATGTCCGAAGGAATTTGAGTGTTGTGCTTGTTTCAAACTTGTGGCAGTACCGGCGCCCCCCCCCACCACCCCACGTAAATTGCATGCATGAACGCACACAACATAGAGTCTCCTTCGGAAAGGCTACGGCAGGCCGGCCTACTGGTTCTCCGTGCGCTAGCAGCCACCAGCAACTCCCAGGGCCCGGACCAAGCATGCTTCAAGCAGAAGGGCAGCGAGACCTGAGATCTCCAAAAGAGGGAAAACACGGCGAGTGAAGGGAGAAGTCGGGGCAACAGACCATGGGGAGCGCCAGCAGAGTCCACATCTCGGCCTTCAAGCAAGGCAACCCTGTCAACATCTCTTGTCGCCCTCAACTTCCCTATATTCTTTAAATACCCGTTGTTTTCCCACCTCATGGCTGCGCCCCAGGGACCTCACGCAGCAGTAGGCGGCACCTGCTTTCGGGTGATCCGACGTGTCACGTTGCAACTTCAGGAAGTCAGGCCTGAAAGGCATCCTGCCTTGGTACGTAGTAGGCTGATGTAGGCTGCAGGAAACACTCAAAATATCAAAAACCTAGGACTTGTGCCAGCAAGGCCAGGGTGGGACCCAGCAGCGTTCCAGAAACCAGCCCCTGCAAGCAGCAGCTCTACGCCGCTCGCCCCGGCAGTGTCAGCACCAGAATGGGATCCCCCTGCCTCCCAGGACGGCTTGGCTATGAGCCTCGAAAGCATGCGTTATTTGCGGTTGCTTTTTTCTGGAGCACCAGGGGCTGCTGGGAAAGCAGCAAAGAACGGACATTGGGAAAGTAATTGAGGCTTTACGCCACTTTGTGCCTTGCTCTCGCCTTGCTGATGGGAGTGTGCTGGATGGTTTCAGCTGCCTCTCGGATCTCGTGAGCCGAGGCCCGTACCCAACTCCAAAGATTGAGACCGCGATGCTCAGCCCACGGATGGCGCTCAAGCGCTCGCCTTGGTGAGTGCCGCGCTGCGCTGCTGAGATTCGGAGGGCTGAGTCTCGCAAGCGGGATAAGGTGCGAGGAAAGCGGGAGATGGCTAACTTAAAGCTCGGGAACCCTTCACCCCAAACCTTTTACGACTCTGTGCTTGCAATCAGGCGTGTCGGAGCTGCTTCGAAAGCGCAAACACACTCTTAAGAACCAATGGAAGCCCCATCTAAATCAGCCTTAGATGGCCACTTCCCTGAATTAGTAGTCCGTTTTGGGCACCCGTTACGGAGCTTCGTCAGGAACCCCCCAGGAAGGGAACCCCCCAAGGGCAGGGAAGCGCCCAACTGATGAGCCTCTGCCAAGCGGCCCAGAAAGGCCCAGGACAGCAGGGACGCAGAGGTCGGATGCACCTCGACTTACTCGTACAATGCCCAAACGTTCGTAGAAATTCGTACAAGGCAGTTAATCAATCATGGTGCAGATTCAGAATTCAGGGAAAATTTTCACACAAAACAAAAAACTGAACATTGCCCCCTGAGCCCGTCACCTTCCCCAGGAACACCGCCTCTGCGCAGCTTTTTCGATGTCCATAAGCGATGATGATATATAATGAACATGTATATATCTCTTCTGTTGCTGCTTCATGTACAGGCGCAGCGAGCACTACAAAACGCACACCATGCAGACCTCCGCAAGCGGCATCAACTCGATTGCCTCAAGGTAGGCCTGATCTTTTGTTTTCTGCTTGCCATTTCATGAACGAACACAGCCAGTGTCTTGCGCACCAGCAGAGCAATGTGGCCACAGAAGCCACGCAGCCTTTCTGCGAAAAACGCACATCTCTGGCAGGCACGATAATTGGCACCAAGCGGAACTAACCCCAATTAAGCGCCGTGCAGCAAAAGCCATGGGCACTTCGGCCACTGCATCTTGTGCGCGCAAGCCTTACATTCTCATTTACACACACACTTTGCCTGAAAAACTTGTTCGATACCAGGGAAATCGAAAAACTTGTTCGATACCAGGGAAATCCTCCACCCGGAGAGCGTTCGCGGGCTGAGGCACGAGCATGCCGGGAGCTGGCAGCGCTTGCAGCTGTGAAGAAAATGGAGAGCAAGGATCTGGCACGATACACAAACAACCAGCTGTTCGGGATGCGATCAGCCACTACTATTTAATTACAATCCCTCCCTTCGAGGCTCCACCTCCAGAACAATTTCTCTTCCGTTGACGCTCGCGCCCCAATGATCTGAGGGCGCACAACATTCTCGCGTTGCATCTCGACAAGTCATGGTGACGTACCATAACAAGAACAACTGCATGCAGAGGCAGAGGGTCCAAAAATTTCGGTTTGGACAAGGCGCTTTCGAAACCGCTGCCATTAAAGTGAAGCTGGTGGTACTGACCTTCGATCAGCTCGTGCACTTTCTGATGCACTTGAAGATCTTCCGTCGCGACATTGTGGTTGCAACGATCTAGGCCACGAGGCCAGCATGTACAGGTAGCCAACAGCTCGAGAGGTTTGGTCACCTTGGTCAAAGCATTTGGAGGCCCAACCGTTATTGCAGCAAGCGCCAGCACGCGGCGACGCGAACCTGACTTCTGCTCATCCGCGCAGTGCGACCAAGAGTCCGACCATGGCGCAGACGACAAGAGCCAACTCAAGCAGGGCTTAGGGTTTGGGGCTTGGGGGGCAGGTATGTACAGCACCAGTCCATTTGCCATGTTAAACTTTCACTGCGAGCCAAAACTCCGGTGCAAATGGACTGAAAAAGTTCGCGCAAAATTTCAACCGGCCAAATGGAGGCCCGGCCTGTGCATTCCGACGAATTTCACACAAAAGGGTTTCCAAAATGACTGGAATGCCAGTACGAATTACGTGCACGACCACCGAATGAAACGCAACGCGCGACACGATATTCGAACCGAAGCGAATCATCCGTCTCTCTCGCTCTGTTTCTGTCTGTCTCTCTCTCTCTCTCTCTTTCCCTCTCTTTTCTTCTTTGTCTGTCGCTCGCTGTCTCTCTCTGTCTCTCTCTCTGTCCTTCCCTGTCTCTCTCTGTGTCTCTCTTTCTGTCCTGTCTCTCTGTCTCTCTGTCGCTCTGTTTCTTCGTCTCTTTGTCTCTTTGTCTCCATGTCTCTCTGTTTCTCTGCCCAAGCAATCCCGTGGAGGAGACAAATCTGCGTGCAACGACCGAAGTGGAGACAATCTAAGCTGCAAAACGATTTGAGCCGAACGATGGTCAGCACCCGCTGCGTTCCTCGGCTGTTTGACCGACTTCTGAAGTGTTGCAGGCAGTAGCAGCCAGCCAGGCTCAAAAGACGATGCAACATCACAGCGTTTCAGCGCATCGAAAGTGTCCAAAGGCTGAGTTCAGGGAACCTGGTTTGCAGGACACCAAAGGTTTTGGGAAGTTGGTCTTCCAACACAGCCAGTGTGGCTTTTCTCTGACATCTGATACACTTGGCTCCTTGTCCATGCTTGATGGCCAATTGGATTGTACTTAAGAGCTCGCAACCTGCTGCGCAGCTGCAGTACGTTAACAGCTTCGGCTAATAGCTCGGCTAAGCAAACTGCTTTGAGCTACGACCTTGAGAAGAGTGTCCACAGCTGCAGTCGAGATGCCGTGAAGCTGTACAAAGCAAGAGCAAACGACATGCAATTGCTACGTCACTGCATCACATGCTGCAATGATGCTTGCTGCAAAATGCAACCTGCACACAACGCACGAAGTGAGGGGACATGTCTCTATCACACAAACACAGGCGCTTCCAGCAGCCCCGGATTTTAAAAGACATGGATTGTAGGTCTCTACGCGAGGATCTCCCTCGGCTTCTGAGGTCTCGTAGCGCATGACCATTTCAAAATTACATCTGCTCGCGCGGGTATAATTGCGCGACCCGGCATACACACACGTCTCGCACTGTACAATGCAAACGCCGTCTTCGTGAATCTCGAATGGTCTTGTTATGGCAATCCGAAGAACCAAAAGCAATCACTGGCACTGAAGGAAAAAATCATCATTCATGTACTCAATACAAACTATGAAGTCAAAGTCTGCAATAATACTCTTCTGCCATCTGCACAGTCAAACCAATCCGAGTGGACATGCAGTTCGTGGAATCATCAAAGTGTGTCTCCAATTGTTGAAGCTATACAAGAATGCAACCAGTCTGAACAAACGAAGTCCTGGGGCAATGCTCAAGGCAATCCCGCGGAAACCGTCTCCGGCAGAATGAATAGCAACCATTTGTCCTTGCCACTTGTGCTCGTCGCGAAGAAAACGCAATCGCAGTACTGGAGAAAACCATGGCTACAATCAGTGATCAGGGCGTAGGACGAATCAGCAATCGCATCTGCCAGTTTCAAGAAAGAAAACAACAACACTGGGTCAAGGCCAATCAGAATGGTCGCTTCTGCTATGTACAGGAAAAGGTATGCGCAATTCAGCTCCTGAAGGAACAATGGAGGAAAATCACCTACCAATGTTTCCTTAGGTCTGGCTCCTATATACAATTGCTCCTCGGCTATAGGAAACAACTTCGGGCAATTCACCCTGTGATTGGTTCCTGAGGTTCCTAAATTCAATCATTCAAAACAGGCTCTTCAAAATCAACACTAGACCACAATGCTCTCACGAACTTTCTGGAAGTCCAATCCTAACGAGCAAACACGACCGAAAGCTAAATGCAGCACAGATAGGGTCCGGGCAATGAGCAACTGTAACTAAGGCCTGGGCGGCGAACAACAACAAGCATCTGAGCAATGTGCATCAGTGATACAAATCTGGCACCGAATTTTCACGCAAAGAAGCGCAACCGGCTCTTCACGATATCAATCTCTAAGACGCAAAGAAAGCAAACTACACACGACAGCTCGACCAACGAAACACAACTATAGCACAAATCAGCCACTCAATCAAAGCATAAATCAGATCAACACTTCAAGCCTTCAAGCAATACCTGGAGTCAACGCCGACTCCTGGAGTCAATACTGACTCCTTCCTCCTCTCCGTCCCTCGGCTAAGGCTTCAGCCGCAAGCCGAACAACAAAGGGATGGGAGGGCGGGAGAACGAGAGGACCAATCAACACGGACGACTCAGCAACACAAAAAGAAAGCACGCAAGCCAAGCGCATTAACCAAGGACGCCAAATGCACCAACTCAGACAAAACAGGAGCTCGTCAGGGCCAATCGCCATCAGTAAGAGGCGTCACCTCTCTCATAACTGGCAATGTGCAATAAGCAACCGAGGAAAGCCAATTCACTCCAACACGCCATAATGTCGACAAGACAACCGACCAAGCAAACGGGGCAAGGCAAAACCAACTGGTGTAGCAATTACACGTTGTTGTTGGCAAAGGTGCAGCAGCAGAAGCCATCACTTCAATCTGCAGCACTAAAATTTCAAGAAAACGCACAAGCAAGATCAATACCGATCTGTTTCCACAAGCAGCGCTTGTGCCAATAATTCAGGCAACGTCACCCGACAGTGACCAAAGTGATTATGCATGCTAATGAACACAGCGCAAAGGTATACCGAGGCAATTAGTCAAGCAAGCACGTAAGCAATACCAACTTCCAGCTTCAACTGCTCAAGCCAGGTTTTTTTTTTAGCACAATCACCTTCGTCAAGCTATACAGCACACCGCTTCTGCAAGAACATGCACAATGTAAGCAGGACATGCAAAACCGAACCAACTCAACTCTCAATAGTCAAGCGACAATCACATCTTGCAAGTGGAGCTCAATCTGACTTGCAAGACTAGAGAAACACGCTCCTCCAATGATCTTGCCGAGAGACCGAAACAGGCAACCAAAACTCGACACACCAAAAGCAACTGCTACAAGTATGCAATAAGCACAAACGCTCCACAGGCGGACTGAATGAACAATCTGGCCTGCTAAGCAATGGGAACAGGCTCCCACCTTGATTCTGCCAATCGCTTCAAAACCAAAACACCGGGCACGTCAAGTCGTCAAGTCAACAAGCAATTTCACACCTAAGCAGTCACTCAGACAACCTTTCAAATCTGCCATACAATGCGCAAGCTTCCAAACCAAAACAATTGAGGAACAACAGGTCCAATCATGAGTCGTAGGAGTTGTAGGCACAACTGTTTTCCAACCAATGTAGCAACGACAACGCAGCACAAAGCAACCAAAACCAGGCAACCAAAACGCACAATACTTGTCATCAACATGAGCCAAGAATCAACAGCGACTCAATCTGAGCCACCTTGACCTGAATCTCCAGTAACAAGCAGACGCTTGTAACAAAATCAGACTCACAAGCAAGCATACGCTCACCACCTGACTCTTCAACGTACAACTCCTTCACATACCCTCAACGGGTCTTCAATCAACTCTCTCAACTTCAACCAAGCAATCGACCAATCCTTTTTTCAACAACACCTTGGTGCTCCCTAGTCATGCAGATACACGCAACGCTTCTGTGCTTTGATCCACATCAATCATGTCTGTTTCATGTGCTCTACCTTCTTTCCTGAGTACACAATTTTCCAGTCCCCAGTCCTTTCCTCTTTCTTTCTTCAGTCTTTCCCTTTCATCTGAGGCAGGGACAAAAGCTTGAAAACCCAATGGCTCCTCTTGGCCATCATTCTTTGTTGTCAGCTTTCTTTCGCCTTTCTTTCAATACCTTTTACCTTTCCTAATCCTTTTCCTTTCCTTTTCCGTTGGGGACTTGAACCTCCAATCTGTTCAGTGGGGACTGGAACCTCCACTTCCTTGCAATTCCTTTTCTCTGTGGGGACTGAAACCTCCACTTCCTTTGTCCATTCTTTTCTTTCAATCTCTACCTCTGTGGCCTTGGGGAGGGACGAACCCAAGCTCAATCCACTTCTTTCAATCGTACCTCAGTCAATCAGGCTTCACGAATCTCAGACACAACTTCAGCTTCACTCAGCATCAATGCGTGTCGTCTTGGCTACTTGCAATCACCAAAAGTTCCTACCAAAACTCAAACGAATCAAACGTCCCTATCAAAACTCGCAATCACTCTACACACAGCAGTCACAACAAAACTCTCTCTACCTATTCTTCGCAATGCTTTGACAGAACTGACATGTGCAATCTGTACCTCGCACACAATCTCTGCCACAGTACACTGCTTCAAGGAAAAGCTTCACCAATCTCTCTGGCGCTTCCAAAGTATATACATGATGCTCCAAGCCAAAGGTTTGTACAATGCTTCTTACTCTTCTCAACTCGATGCACAAAACAATCTACCAGGCTTCTCGAACGACCATACAGCGAAAACGAACTTTGTACAATCCTACCTTACTGAGCTTGTCAGTGAGCAGGCCCCAGCTCTTAAGCCGAAGCTCCGCTACCATGAAATTTTCAAAGGTCACTTTCTGTACAATATCAAACTGTTATGTAAACTACCAAACACATGACTGTTCAATCAATGGTCTTGACCACACCACAATACAAGCATACAACTGTCAGATGCAATCTCTCGCTCAGCAATCTTTTGTGTCACTTGGGCTGAGCCAATCCTTAGCCAATCCTCGTTGGCACCTTGAGCCAAAGCATCATGGACATGGCAATGTCCACACGCCAATGTTCTCTGTCAGTGTTGCATGTTGTTCATGCAATGGACAATGTACATGTGCA